GCAGGAGAAAAGAAGGAGTCTCTTCAGGCACTGAGCCTGGAAGCTGAGCAAAAGCAGGGAGGACAGGGCCTGACGGAATCTCAAAGCTATCATTCCTGGGGCTTTGGGGCTCACAGGAGGTTCTGTCTGATATAATACACGAGGAGGAAATATCACACAGGGGTTTAGAGCCCCGGATGGGCAAACAGATTGACCTAGGTTCAAATCCCAGTACAACCACTTTCTTGCTTGATTTTTCGGAGCCTCACTTTAACATCTGTAAAATGGGGACGAGATCTGAACCAGCCTGGTGGGTGCAGATGGGATGAAGCGCTATCTAGATGCTGGTCGATGGTGAGCATGCCCACAACGTGACCCACCACGAAGATCATCCCTGGGAGGGCTCAGGGCACCAGCCTTGCTGGAGGGGGTGAGGCAGAGGGGCAGCGGGAGGAGGCTGCCCCCAGCTGGGGGCCCATAAAGCCCAGAACACACACTGGCCCGGCCCATGTGTCCACAGCAGACCAAGGGGCAGAAGACAAAGAGGGAAGCAGGGCCGGTCCAATGTAATGCAACAGAGCAGAGAAGTCAGGTTATTTATTTTAAAGTCACAAGTGTCTTCTAGCAAGACAGCCTTTTATTTGGGTGACTCTGGGAATTGTTTATCAGCTTAAACTCATTATCTGCACATATGGTCTTCATACTATGGTTCAGGGCGGGAAACAAAGGATGGAAGGGAGAGGATGGGCAAACACTAGGGGAGGAAATATCATCCCTCAAGTGCCAGAAGCCGGGATATTTTCAGTGACGTCACACTGGGCTTCCTGCCATGGGGATGGGGCTATCATGCGAATACTCACAAGGTTTTAACTCGGGCGTCCCTCAGTGAGGGAGGGAAAGGAAGGGGGAAAAAAGCAATTTATTTTATTCACTCGTGTCTTCCATTCTCAAAGCAGACTCTTCCCCGCCCTCACACACACACACACACACACACGCGCGCGCGCGCCAAGCCCCAGTATATCAGAGCTGGAAAGAATCAAAATTGACCCCTCCCATTTCACGTAATGACCGTGATGAGAGCGAACATTTGCTGAGCATCTACCACATGCAGGGCACTGTCCTAAGTGTTCCACATGTTCTATCTCATTGACGATTCACAAAAAATCTGATGAGGTATGATTCGTCCCGTTTTGCAGATCAGGAAACTGAGGCATGAGAGGCTGAATGGCCTAAGGTCACACAGCCAATCTGTAGGAGAATACCGACATTCAAACCCGGGGAAGCCTAACCACCACACAATATTGCTGCTAAAGAAACAGCAAAACAGGCTCAGAGAGGGGCAGTGACTCCCTGAGGTCACAAAGCTCCATTTGAGAATCCACAAGAGAATCAGGGCTCAAACACAAGTCTCCTTACTCAGGGTTCAGGGACCTTCCCACACCCCCTGTTGCCTCTCGGTCCACGCATGCACGCACAGGACCAGCGAACATGCTTATGCTCATCTCCAAGTTGCTTAATTCGTTAATTAAAACAGCAATCTTGGGTGCAGACAACGGACAAGGGTTGGACCTTAAGATAATCAGTGCTGACATGAAAGACCTACTTTGCTAGCTGCAAACACTGGGGCTCATCATCTCACCCTTTCTTTTCAAAAAGAGTTTCCTTCTCTGCACACACACCCATCCCCCCCACCCCACCACCCCCCGCTGCAGGATCCAAGTGCTGATTCAGGTCCAAGGTGCCAGCCCGTGCAGCAGGAGGAATCCAAGCTGCCAGGTTTGCTCCATGGCATCAGGTTGCAGAAATACCCGATCGACCGATCATCTGCTCCGGGGGACCAAAGTGCTGGTTTCCAAGGCCCCTCTCCCTCTGCGGTGTACCAGCTGAGCACGAACAAATGTTCCTGATTTTCCTTCTCTCCACTGATGAAATAGGCCAGAAGAGCAGCCCTCTGGAAAGAGGGGTCCCTCAGAGGGGCGGCCCAGCCACCAACATGTGCTCTCCTCAGGGAAGGGGAGTGAGGGCTAGACACGCAAGCACTGGTCACCGACATTACCTTCTCTGTCCAAAACAGCGGTCTGATGGGGGACAGAAACCTGGCTCATTTTGTTGTGCAGGGGTGGGGCAGGGTGGGGCAAGACAGCGGGAGAGGTGCTCTCCACTGGACTCAAGGCAGAGCAAGGGCTGCCTGCTTCCCTAAGAGGTTATACCCTCCTGCCTTTAAGCTGCAAGCCCAGCCAGATCTCCTGGGCCAACACGTTCAGTTTACAGACTGGGGAAGCAGATTCAAGGCCGAAAGTGACTCGCCCAAAACCGCACTGCTGATCCAGAAAAGGTAGATTTCAAAGCAGCCCCCAAACCTTGCTGTTTCTTCCCCTCCTTAACCCCTCCCACAAATCCCTGCCATAATTCCTTGCCTCAACACCCCTTCCCCTCCTGTCTTGCCCAGCACCCTGTGTTCCAGCCCACCCCCACACCACTAAAACCTCATCCAGTAACTTGGTAGCTCTTTCTAGGCTGACGTGGAATTTTTTAAAGGAGGAGGGAATACTTCGTAGATGACCCAAAGTATCCTAACTCTAACTCCAGAGGAACTTCTGCTTCTGGAAAGTGCCCCGGTAGACTGCCATTTCAGCCCTGGGGTTGGGTAAAGATGTCCTGAGGGCCAGTGTTGGAATGGATTTAGGGACAGGGAGATAAGGAGACTGAATTTCCAAGACTTGAAATTTTGCTGAATCAGAGATCTTGGAGTTTACACCGGGTCCACACGTGATATGCTACCCAAACGCAAGCACCAGCGGCCCTGGGGTCTCAGTTCCCTCCTCTCCTTAGGGCAGGTGGGGTGGGCCGTGGATGGGGGACAGAAAGAAGGGGTACACAGGAGCTGCCGGCCCTCAGGGGACCCGTGCTCACACCCAGGTCCCAGGGGCAGGGCTGTGCCTGGCAGGCTTTCCCCTGCAGAGAAATAAGAGCCACTAAAAACAAAACACGACCCAAAACTCCTTTTGTTTTCGGGCCCCGTGGAATGTCTTGAAGACATATCCAGAGACATCCATCGGGCCTCTCCACCCTTTCCTCTGTCTCCTCCCCCCACCCCTTCTGTTCAAAATAAAAATCATGCTGATCTTTCTTTATGGCACCTCGGCCCTACAGCATTTTGGTAACATCCAGCAAAAACGTGGTGGGCTGTATGGAAAGCCAGAGCCTCAACTAACTCTCTTTCTGGGACTGCCCCCATTTCCATCACCTTTGCAGGGGACTCTGGGGACACGGGAGGGGGAGGGGCTGACCAGTGAGCACACATTGCTAGCCAAGAGACACATGAAAACTTCCCACGGCCACTATAAGGCCACTGCCCAGTCTTTGATTTGCTCATTTGTCCTCTCTTGGGGTGCAGGGAGGAGGGAGGGAATTAAAGAGAAAGAGGACGCACTTCAGTCCGCGTTCAATGTCGAGCAGCCCCTAACAGGACAAAGCTAAGGCTCTTCAGAGATGCCCGCAGCAGTCCTGCTTCCTAAGGCCGCGACACAGATACACAGGATCCACTCACGGGGGCCCTGAGGTCAGAAAACGGGACACACCACAGGTGTCCACTAACAGCTGTGAAATGACCTGATGAACGTGGCCTGTAGACCCAAACCCAAGAGTGGAGGGACCCTTGTCCCCGTCTGAGAAATCCACCACTTCAGCACGGACTGCTGAAATCCTTAAGGGGCCCTCATGACCCGGGTCCTGTGCCTGCCAGCTTACTGTGCCCAGAGAGAGGATGGATAAGAGGGGTACCCCCAAACCGTCATCCAGCCCACACCATCTGGCCACATCCAGGAAACAAAGGTACAACTTTTACAAGAAGGGTGCATTCAGCAATTTGGGCTGCAGACCCCAAAGAAACCTCGACAAGTTGATCCTCTCATCCCCTTTCTCTACACCAATTCGCTATTAAAGTTTCTCTCGTTGTTGTTTTTCTGGGGGTGAATTTTTTATTCACCCATGCACCTTGCCTGCTCCCCAAGAAAAGCCACCTCCTGACTACCAAGCTTTCCTGCACACGGTGCACCCCAGCTTCACGCTCGGACCTCTCCCCCGCCGTCGGACGGGGCCGGGGGGTGCTCCTCCGCGTGGGAGCCCCGCGCGTGTTGGAGGGTCTGTGGTTGTAGGTCCTGGATTTCGGTGCAATGGTCTCGCAGGAACCAGGACTCGCCTTCCTGTGGGTGAAAGGGCCGGGGAAGGGCTCCCCCTGGCGGGGGCCAACTCACCTCAATCTAGCGGGGATCCAAAGCTGGCGCGAGCCCACCCGAGCCAAGCAACCCTCCCAGAGGACTCCTATTATACACCCTAAATCTGGACGTGCCAGAGAGGCTCGGATCCACCGAGCACCCACGGAGTCTCCGCTTCGCTTCCCCAAACCGCGCACACCGCGTACGGGATAAGGGGGACCCGGGAGGAAAGTGTGGCGCCCCTGCCCCACCCGCCCCGCCCGGCTGCTGGGACCCCAAAGGCGGCCCGCCCTCGGTGCCCTGGCTGGGCCCAACAATCCTGCCGGCCCGGATCCTCGCTCCTAATCCCTAGTCTCTACCTGACCTCCTACAGAGTGGCCTGGTGCGCACCCCCGCCCTCGGGGCGCAGCCCCCGCTGAGACCCCAACCTTGTTAACCACACCTGCTACCCCCCGCCATCCTCCCGACGCCCCCCACTCACCCATCCAGAGCGCCCAGCGCCGACTGGGACTGCACCTGTCTGGGGGGGGGGAAGCTTCTAGCCCGCGGATTCGGAGCAGGGATCCGGGGCGGGGATCGGGGCGAGCACTTCTCCCCTGCCCCCTCCCCAGGCTAGTTTAAGTAGAACTTGGTTTCTGGGCTTCCCCGGGACCGTTCTGGGATCCCTCCCCCGTTCCATCCCCACCCCCGACCGTGCCCAACAGTCGCCGGGGGTGGGGTGGGGGGAGCGCGCCAGGGGTCTCCAAGTCCCCGGGGACGCAGCCGCGGGGCGCACGGAGGGCGCGGAGGTGCGGACCCCCCTACCTTCCAGCAGCAGCAGCCGGACCCCGCGCCAACTCCCGCCGGCGGCCGCGGGGGAAACTTTCCCCGGGCGGAGAGGCGCGCTCGCAACTTGCTCGGCGCCGGCTGCCTTCCCGGTGGCGGCGGCGGCGGCGGCGTGTCCGCGGACCGGCTGGCGCGAGGCTGCGGCGGCGCTGGCTCGGGGCTCGGGGCTCGGGGCTCGGGGCCGGGGCTCGGGCGGCCTCGCGCGGCTCCGCTGTGGATCGCTTGGCGCTGCGTCCGCCCCGCAGCCTGGAGCCCCCGAGACGCCGGCGGCAGCTGCAGCCGCGCGCCCGCCCGCCCGCCGGCCCCACCTCCCAGCCACCGCTCCGTCCCTCCCTCTCCCCCGCGCTCCCTCCCCTCCCCAAACCTCCTCCCCGCCAGGCTCCAGTCGCCGCCGCCACCGCTGTCGTGGCGGCCGCCGAGAAGGCACGTCTCCTCCGGCGGGCTGCCCCTCGCCTCCTCCCTGCCTCGGGCTCGGCCTGCGGTGCGGCATCCAGGCCTCGCTGCGGGGCCCTGGGGCCACCCTCTGCCCTGCTCCCGTCCTTCACCCCCTGCCCGCCTTCCCGCCCTGCTGCCCGGGCCCTCGCTTCGTCTGAATTCGGGAGATCCGCTGGGGAAGTGGGGAGAGTGGCATGCTAGACCCGGAGTATTTATTCCGGGGAAACTTTCACGCTGGCCCCCCATAACCGACTGCAGGGTTGGAGGGCGGATGACCGTCCATCCGGACCCCGCTGCTTCTCCTGGGCCTCCTGCTGCCCTGGGAGTACCTGTTGAAAGCCGGAGGGATTCACCCTGCCCAGGGCTGCTTCGGCGGGCTGCGGATAATAGAGGCCTTGGACGCCGGTGAGGAGGGGGCGGGGCTGACCCCAGACCAGATGCAAATGAGTTGATTGCGAGAGGCCCGCGCTGTGTCTCCAATCTCAGGACCTATCTTTTCATTTGTTCCGCTGCCACAGCCACACACCCCCTCCCCAGCCCCTGACACAGGACTTCACTGAGACACTTAACCTCTGAACTTCCTGCTGCAGACGAAATGAGCAAGCAAGCAGATCGAAGGGGACAGCCCAAGTGAAAGTGCTTGGTAACCCCCCAGATGAGAGGGGTTCTGGATGCCCACTCCTCGTCCCTAGGGAGCTCTTTTTTGGGGCCCCTGCTCTGAAGCTTCCCCGGGGCAATGCCTGATGGCCCTGGAGATTCACGCAGGCCGGAGCTCTGCAAGGGGCCCCTTGGTCAGCTGATTCTCACTAAAGAGTGAGTGACTGATAGGCTTTGAACCTATTCCAGTCTTGGGTATAAGGGATGGTAATATCGGGCCCCAGGGCAGTTTCCAGGGGCAGGAAATCGCTGCCTTTCCTTACCCACATTCCAGGAAAAGGATACACCCCTCTAAGGACTTTGAGGATGTCTGGTCCTTTCAACCCATTCACTGAGTCCTAGGGTAAATTGAGAATGGGTAAATTGAAGAGGTGTGACTGGGGGAAATAAACGTGGTCCGCCTTTCAAATGGACCCCGAGTGAGCAATGCTTAACTCAAGGGAAGAAAATCTCTGATAACGCAATTTCTGTAAAACAAGGACAAGCAAAACGCTAAACGGATTCAGCCTCCAGGGTCACCCCTTCCGCTGCCAAAACAGAGTTGGGGGAGGCTGACCCTTTGCGCTGAAAAACCCCACAGGCTCTGCGTTTATGGAATGCTGTTGGAAGAGGCAGTCTGTGTGGGCCTCCTTGGACGGAGGCGCCACATAAATTTAAAGAGGGAAAAGGTTCAGCCTCTAGTGAGGGTGCTGGGGCCTGGGAGGTGGAGGCCAGAGACAGCAGGAGCAATAGATGGAGTTTCTGAGGGTCTGGGGGATTGGCAGAGGCCGGCAGGGGGAGTGGGGGAGGGAAGCACCGGGAGGGGAAGGCAGAGCAGGCCAGTTCGACCACTAAGCCGCCCAGCTGGGAGGTCAGCCCCAGCTCCAAGTCAGAGTTTCCCAGACCTCAGCCGTTCTCCTGCTTCCGTCAAGAATCCGTGCACCAGATAAGGCTGTTTGCTTAATAGCTTTCTTTAAATCAACTCTTGTTTTGTTATTTTTTTACTTGTTTTTACAAAGAAATGTTATATCATTCCCATAAATGGAAAACCAGCATCACATTACTATAAACAGAAGGTCCCATAAAAATAAATACAATGAAAATAAAAGTGTTATTAAATTCTAACAATGTATATTTAACCACAATAAAAAAAAATTTTCCAGCAAAATACAGCTGCCTAAGGAAGGTGCTGAGCCCAAGGCCCCACTCTCTTGTAAAGGGAGATTAACAAGGGCTAGAAAGGTGTTAAAGACACATTAGCAACAAACTGAGACTCCAAGTTGTGATCAAAAGGGTTGAAAGAGAACAGAAAGGGACGCCCCCACCTCCAGCTCCGCAGGCCAGGCCGCCAGGCCGGCAGGGAGACTGAAGGCCCATGGAATCTCCTTGAAGACCTCTGATGCCCCAGGAAAGGCAATTCTAAGTACTTGTTGGCCAAAGTTAAGGACCCCAAGAGCTTAGTCCTGGGTAGGAGGAGGTGATCCTGGTGGCAGAAAGCGGGCCTCCTCCTCACAGGGTGACCCTGGGGCAGTTGCTCCTTTCTCTGGACTCAGTGTCTCCACCATATGCAGGAGGCTTGGACAAATGGTCTCTGGAATCCCATTTACTATTCTTCGATAAAAGCAAGAAAGGCACCGGGTCATGGCTTATCAGGAAATTGAGAAAGAGAGGGTTTCACCCGGGAGGGGGGGAGGGGAAGGGGAGGCTTGGAAAGGGAGAGAACATTGAGGGGGGCACCGAGGAGGGTCAGCACTCCTCAGGAGGGAGGGAACGGGGTGTTAGGGCCACTGTTGACCAACTGCAGTCTAGGTCGTCCGAAATCCAGAGGTGGCCCAGCCCAGAAGATTCCAGATTCCCCATTTACCCATCCTGGAAGGAGCCTTGTAGAGAATCCACTGTAATCCAACCACTTCATTTTATAGAGGGGAAACTGAGAAAGCAGCATGGACTAGATCCTAGTCATGGTTGGAGACCTGGGCATCAAACTGAGGCCCTTTCGACTTCTCCTGTGTTTGGGGTTCTAGTAGAAACAGTTCTTTTGAAAATACTCACCTCTCCTCCAAGGGGCTCTTAGACTTCACTTTTCTCTGACAGCTGGAAAAAAACGATGAAATGGTCTGAAAACCCCAAACTCACTGGAGTGTGGCCAGTGTTGGGCAGCCCATGTCACTGGACAAAGGACACCGGAAGTGAGCATCCACACGCTGGCACCATGGGGACCCTAACGCAGAGCAAAGAGCCCCAAACCAGGGGTCCACGGGCCCAGGTTCCAGTCCTGGCTATCTTGACAATTCCTTCCTTTCTTAGGCCTCCGTGTTCCCATCTGTAAAGTGACACATTTGGGTGCTATCCGTGGGTCTCGAGTTGGGCCAGCAGTCCCGTCCCCAGGTGCCTAAGGACTGGGGGACAGAGGGCGAGGCGCCCTTGCAGCTTTCCTTTTTCTCTGTTTTGTACGACGGTGTCTTACATGAGAAAGTGTGTCCTTCACTTATAAAGAATTTGAAGTCACTAGAAGTGATGACCTTTTCTTGCTCCTAACCTTTGTAAATTTAGGGCTGATTAGACAGGGACCCTGCCTTGTTCATGTCTGGGTCTCTAGGACTTTCTAGAGTCTGCGCTCAGAGGAACATTGGATGCCACCTGCTAACTGTGCCCCCTTGGGCCAGCCACTTACACTCTCTGAGCCTCAGCTGACGTAGGTTTAAATGGGAACTGGAACCACACCTCTGGCACTGGGTGGCTGTGAGCTTCTCAGGGAAAGCTCTCAGCCCAGCCCCTGGCACATAGTAAGTGCTCAGCAAAGGGCAGACTCATGTGTGAATGGACGAACGGAGGATGCTAGAAGGGCCAGGTCCTTTCCCCAGGAGGTGTCTCGACCTTACAACCTAGCTTTTCCAAGGCAGCTTGCATATTAAATATTTAATCATTGCCTCCCTGGTTTTTTTTTTCCTGAATTGTTTCTTTTTATGTGTAATTTGCAATCATTTCCCCCAAAGTGACAGTTCATTAAATGTACAACTGAGTGTGATTGAATCTGTTTATTTTTGTGATGATTTTCATAGAATAAATTTGAAAATCCTAGGAACATCCTTTGGCAGTTTGAAGACTGTAGGGCCTGGACAAGTTTCAGGGACCCTCCTGCTTTCCCTCTTGGTATCCCTCCACCCAGCTGCCCACAGGCCATGGCCAGCCTCTCTGAGTGTCCTCAGCACCAGGGCCAAGGGCTTGCCTGCCAAGGTCCTCCTTCAGCTCCAGGAATGCTGCTGGCTGGGAGCTGGAAGAAAGGGGTGGTGCTCCCACCCTCCCCCACAGCCTCTGTAGGAAAAGAGGTAGATTCTGGATGGCTATCCTGGGAGGGGCCCTGGGGTAGAGTTTCCTGGGTGCTTTGTAGAGGCTTTCCGGAAAGCAGCTCCCTGGAATAGATCCTACGAGATAGGGAGACTGTTGGACCATCATCATCCGCCTTCATTGTTTTAATTAACTGCTAGTAATAATACAATACTAATAACTGCCATCAGGGAGTGCTTTCTAGGGTAGAAGCTCAGGTTGTAAGGGCAGATAAACCCAAGTCCAAAGCCTGGTTCCTTTATTCATCAGCTCTGTGGCTTCGGGCAAGGCACTTTGCCTCTCTGTGCTTTAGACTCTTAATCTTTAACATAAGGAACGCGTACCATGCCAGGCGCTGTGATGAGACCTTTAGAACACAGGCTCACTTGAGCCTTCTAACAACTCCATTAGGTAGGGGTGACTAGGGATCCTATTTACAGAGACAGAACTCAGAGACCCACCCAAGTTCATCTAGCAATAAAGAAAGCAAGTTCAAACCTTTCTCTTTTCACTTTCGTGAGAGCAGGAGAGAGCAGTGGGCAGGGGGAGGTTAAAAGACTTGGGGCCACCCTGGCATTGAACTTTCCAGCTGTTGGCCTTGGCCAAGTGACCTGACTCCTCTGAGCCTCTCTCTTCTTCCTCTTCACAAATGGGATGAGAGCACCTACCCAAGGAGGCAGTTGTGAACATCAAAGGAAAAGACATCTGCAAAGGGGCTTTGATAAACAGAAAGCACGTAACAAATGTAGCTTCTTCGTCTTTTTTTTTTTTTTTCTTAATCACCTTTATCATCCATGTAGAATGCTGAGATGACAAGTTTGGAACTAGGGTCCCCCGGGTACAAGTCAGTCATGCAATAAATATTCATGAAGG